TGGGAGGCCAACCTTACAGGTGACTGAGTTACACACCCCAGCTGGGTGCTGAGGCTCCCAGTCACAGAAATGGGTGTGTCTTGCTACAGCTCCATGGGTGAAGCTATGCTCACCTGTTCCTTTGTAATATAACCCCTTGCCCTGTTTAGGATAGAATCTTCCATGGAAGTGCCTTGTGTGTGTCCCCTCCTCTTACTGTGCCCTTGGGTGTGGCCTACCCAGGTGTCAGTCAACCTGCTGACAGTGGACATCATGAAGATAGACTCAGCCCCTGAAACCTGACCCCTTGCCTCATTTGAATAGCTTCTCCTCAATAAAAGGGGTCAGGGCGAGCTCTCGCTCTCTCTCTTTCTGCGGACCCTTAAGGTCAGAGGAGCCGTCACAGCGACCCCAAAGAAAAAGGTATTTGTGTCTCTTGTGTGGTTATTTCGTGCAGCCCAGTTAGCCCAGTTTAACTAGAGTGACCCCTGAGCCTTTTGGTCGCAAGAACAGAAACCCGGCAGACAAAAATACTTGACTTTCCCACACATTCACTTCCTATCATTAACTGAATTTTCAAAGTAGCAATTGAGACTTTTTCCATAGATCTCAAAGTAAATTGCAAAATTCTCCAGCTTTTAAGTCCCATTTCATTTTCATTCATTTTAATAGAGTGCAGCATGGAGTTCTTTAAAAAGAGGAAAGGGTATTGTGGAATCAAATAAGCATTCCATGGATGTTATGGGGGAAGTATACATTTTTAAAATATATATATATATATTTTAAGTGCAAGCTAGAAATGCTTAAAAAGTGTTAGAAGTGGAGCTTAATGGCTGATTCTGGTGGGAGCTCAGAAAGCCAGAATGCCAATAGAACCATGAACAGTGATGACAGGGCTCAGGAAAATTCAGAGGAATAAATACTATTGGGAATTGACCTAGAGGCCATTCATGTTATATTCTAGCTGAGAAATTGTCTGCATTTTTCTATGTCCTGAGACTTTCTGTGAGGCTGATTTTAAAAGCAATACACTTCTTAATCTGGCAGAAGTTTCTAAACAGCATAGCATTCAGGTGGTGGCATGGATATTGCTGGTGGCTTTTAGTCAAACTTAATTAAAATTCAGGAGCAGAAAGACTTGGAAAAACTTGGACTCAAAGGTGGAGTAAAACTGGGGCTAAGGAAGTTGCAGTTGTTAAAGGGATTGCTGCCACTAAAGAAATGCTAAAAGCCTTTACCCAGAGGTTATCAGAAAGATGACCTGAGGACATCACAGGAATTGGCAAGATCATATCCATCTCAGATTCAAGGAAGTAAAAGTAAAATTCTTTTGAGAAGAGACCAGTGGGATACTCTTCTTACACAAGGGGCCTAGGAAGTTTTTTCAATGTGCTCAGTCACCCAGACACTCAGAGGCTGCTGCAGCCCTGGTTCCTAGAAGCTTTACTACTACTTTAGAGGGTGTCAGCCACAAGGTGCTGGTTCTGCAGGTCATGGAGGTCCACGGAGGTTTCCACCAAGATTTCAAAGGAAGGCATGGGAGGCCAGGCAAAGTACAGCAGGGTCAGAGTCCCTGCAAGCAACTCCTGAGAGGGCAAAGTATGAAGAGGAATATCAGGAGCCGCTCTGGAAATACATGCCCTTACGTCCTGAGCAAGAGATACTTAACAATTATTGTGCCCCTCAATAACTTGGGCTTTACCGTTGCGCGAATAATGAGGCATGGCTCCAGGAGTAGATGTTACCTGGGGGGGTTGAGTTAGACTCACCTATTCCTTTGTAATCCTACCCATTGCCCTGTTTTTGGATAGAATGTTCTAAGAAACAGTATCCCCCAATTAAAGCCAACTCCAGAATGTGTGTTTGCGCTTTCTCTCTCCTCTTTCTCTCTCATCAGCTCCTCATGACTCCCACCCCCACCTCCACTCCGTGGGGGAGCCTGGGAAGCTGTTCTGAAACTTATAAAAAACTATTCCATGTCTGCGTGGTATTTTGTGTCATCCCAAATTCACTAACTGACTTTAGTTCAGTTACCTGCACTGGACGGGGGCAGCAGAGGAATCCAAAGCTGCAGTGGAGACCCCAAAATTAAGAAATGCCACTAACATAGGACGTCATCCTACGAAAGCTGCAGGAATTGAGCAAAGACAAGCCAACAGAAAGGCCCTTATGGCTACAACCAAGGATATGAGGCGGATCTATACAAGCCCTTTGGACAGAACATCACCATGCCATGGGCCCCAGAGGCCATATGTGGAGCTACAGGATTTGTTTGCCCAGCTGGATTTGGGTCTTGCTTTGGTGCCATCCCTTCTTTCTATGCCCCTATTTTTGTGAATGGAAATGTTTACTCTGTACCTTTGTATACTGGATACTTGTAAATTGCTTTTGATTTTTATAGGAGCTCACAATGCAAGCTTGCCCTGAATCTCAGAGGAGACTTTGGACTTGAACTTTTGGACAATCTTGGAACTGTTGAGAATATGAGGACTATTGGAAATGGACAAAGTGTATTTTGCATTGTGAAATGGTCATGAGCTTTTGGCAACCAGGAGCAGAATGTTATGGTCTGGATGTGAGGTGTCCCCCCAAATGAGAGTCTTAACCCAATCAGTGAATTAGTCCCCTGATGGGATTAACTGAGAGGAAACTGAAGGTGGTGGGTAGAGTGTGGCTAGAGAAGGTGATTCCTGGGAGTGTGCCTTTGGGGCATATATTTCATATGTGGAGTAGACACTCTGCTTGATCATCATGTGAGCTGCTTCCCTCCGCTAAACTCTCCCACCATGATGTTCAGCTTCCCTCAAGCCCCCAGGAATGGAGCTGACTGACAATGGATTGAGACCTCTGAAATCATGAGCCCTTAAATAAACTTTTCCTCAAGTTATTCTTGATGGGTCTTTTAGGCACAGCAGTGAAAAGGCTGACTAAAATAGGGCTGAAGATGTACTTCAGTTGTAGAGTGCCCCTGGGTTCAATCCCCAATATACCTCCCTCTCTCTCTCTCTCACACACACTCACACACACACACACACACACGCACGCACACACAAAGATGGGAAAAAGAAAAATAAACAAAACTGTTAACAGCGGTTAAGTGGTTACCCCATAAGGGAAGATGCACAAGTTTTTTCTTTAAATTTTATCTCTATTTTATGTTTTATTTTTATCAATTTATTTATTTATTTATTTATATTGAGGATTAATCTCAGGGGCACTTAACCATTGAGCCCTTTTTTATTTTTTGAGATAGGGTCTAGCTAAACTGCTGAGGCTGGCCTAGAGCTTGTGATCCTCCTGCCTCAGCGTCCCAAGTCACTGGGATCACAGGTATGCATACCACTATGCTCAGCTTCTACACAATTTCATTTTTTTAAACTATGTCCATATATATTGCTTATATAAGTTTTAAAGCTTACTTTTTAAAATTTTTTTTAGTTGTCAATGGATCTTTATCTAATTAATTTATTTATATGTGGTGCTGAGAATTGAACCCAGTGCCCCTCACACACGCTAGGCAAGTGCTCCACCACTGAGACATGACCTCAGCCCGTGAAACTTACTTTTAAAAACAAATCTTAATACTTTACTATGACTTCAGGGCCAAATGTCATGGTCTACATCTGTAATCCCAGCAATTTGGGAGGTTAAGGCAGGAGGATTGCAAGTCCAAAGCCAGCCTCAAAAACTTAGTGAGACCCTAAGTAACTTAGCAAGACCCTGTAGCAAAATTACAAATAAAAAGAACTGGGGATATGGCTCAGCAGTTAAGTGCCCCTGGGTTCAATCCCCAGTACAAATAAACTTAAACTATGACTTCAAAGAGCAAGGTCTATGGATATTACATTTGTTTTAAGTCACAGTCATTGAACACATTTGGCACTCAAAAGATATTTATGAATGGTGTGTGAGGTTGTAGCTCAGTGATAGCACACTTGCTTAGCAAGTGGGGTTTGATTCTCAGCACCATATATAAATAAATAAAATAAAGGTCCATCAACAACTAAAAAGAAATATTTTTTAAAAAAAGGTATTTATGGATGAATGAAGAACCTGTTAAATGGAAGAGTATACAGATATAGACATTAACTAGAGTAAAAATTAGTTTTGAAAATGTGAAAAGATTTATGGACGCAGGAAGCTGAGGTGGCTGGGTTTAGTTTATTTAGTTTGCTTGGGTTTTTCTTTTATTTTGTTTTGGTACTGGGGATTGAACCCAGGGGTATTTTACCACTGAGCTGTATCTCTAGCCCTTTTATTATTTTTTTTATTTTGAGGCAAGGTCTCATTAGATTGCTTAGGGTCTTGCTAAATTGCTAAAGCTGGCCTCAAATTTGCAATCCTCCTGCTTCAGCTTCCACTGGAATTATAGACCTGCACCCTGCTCTTGGCCTAAGGTGACACTCACACACACACACACACACACACACACACACACACTTGGTTCTAAGAAGGACCAAGCCCAGATACAGGCAAGAGGAAGTCCTTGGGTTGGTTATAAGCCTGTCCCTAATATCTTTTGTCTTCCAACCTCAGTGAGGACCAGAATCTCTGAGCCCTACCCTACATTTTTAAGAGAAACTCTGAAAGCAGAAGAGGCTTTCCACCAAGAGGAAGATGGAGAACCATCCTAGAGATTTATTATAATCTGTTTCCTCTTTGGCTCTTGCTCTATCACATATATGTAAATCTCAAATAACCAAGCATCCCAAACATAGATCTTATAAATAAATCAGTAAGAAGTTAGAAGCCCCCGGCCAACCCCGTCTACTCTTCCTCTATCCTGCTATCTTGATGAAGCACCAAAGTCAAGTGCACAGTAGGAAGACATAAAGTATGAAGAGGAACACTTAATAAAGAACTTTTATAGGGGCTGGGGATGTGGCTCAAGTGGTAGCGTGCTCGCCTGGCATGCGCAAGGCACTGGGTTCGATCCTCAACACCACATAAAAGTGAAGTGAAGATATTGTGTCCACCTAAAACTAAAAAATAAATATTTAGGGGGAAAAAAAAAAAAGAACTTCTAGGGAAGTTCGGAGATCTCAAAGGACCCTGGTGCACAGCCAAAGAGCTGACAAGGTCCAGAACACGACTCTTCAGAGCAACAGAAAGCAGTTATAATCTCCTCTCAGCTCTGCTGTCACAGAAAGTTAATTACTTGTTGCATCAGCACTGTCAGAATCATCCTGGGGAGAGAAAAAAAGACAAAGCACCTGTAGGCTCTACAAAAAATGAACATTTATGTTTATAAATGCTGCTCGCGGCTGCCTACTCTCCATGTTTCCTTTCTGTTACCTTCTAAAACATACTTCTTAGGAGGCTAATAATGAAGGATTAACTTTGGATAATAAAATAAACCCTGGCACTCAATAAACAGCACTCTATTATGCATCACTTAGTTCCAGAATTTCAATAATTCTACTAATCCTACAGCTGTAAAGATGCTCAACAAGACCAGATCTGCTCTAGGATGGTGAAGGAGGGAGGGAGATGGAAGGGAGGACGCTCTTGGTTTTCTAAAACTTGCAGAACATTTGTCAAATTCAAATTTGGTTAATATGCACTGAGAACTATTGTGTGCTAGAGACCGGGATAGAAACTTTCTAGTGTGTTATTTTTTAAGGCCTAAAAAGAAACTGAAGAGTGGCGGGAAAGGCATTACTTACATCCAGGTCATCCATGGCAGGTGGAGGTCTCTTGGTGCTGACCTTTTTCAAAAGCTAATGGGAAGAAAAAATAGTCCCAAGAGTCAAGGAGGGTGAGGGAAGGATAACCTGCATACTGATGGACTACAGAAGAATGGTTCCAGCCAGAGCCTGCCCGACAACTACTCCCATCTTCAAAACCTGTAACACATCACTGAAATTAACTGGAGCCTGTCAGGTAGTGCATGTCTATAATCCCAGCAGCTCAAGAGGCTGAGGCAGGAGTATCGTGAGTTCAAAGCCAGCCTTAGCAATGTAGTAAGGCCCTAAGCAATGCAGAGAGACCCTGTTTCTAAATAAAATAAAATATTAAAAAATAGCTGGGAATGTGGATCACTGGTTAAGTTCCCCTGGGTTCAATCCCCATACAAAAAAATTAAAAAAACAAAAGTTCATTGTAAAAAAAGTAAACTTAAATACACATAGTCTTTACCCTTACTAATCCAGATTCATATCCCACCCCCTTCTCAACAGTGCTAGGGATCAAACCCATGGCCTCACACAGTCTAGGCAAGCACTACCACTGAGCTACATCCTCAACCCATGATACACACTTTATACTGTTTGGTGTTAGCTTCCCATGAAATGTTCTGGCTCAGGAAGAAAAAAAAAAACACAAAGAAAATAAAAGACAAGAATGTAAGTACTATGGGAAGCAATTTTGCTAAACTTGTTCAGAACACAGGCTACTCTATGAATAGTAATTGAATCTATATATAATTTCACACTAATGTTTATTCCTCTCATCCCTACTAAACACTGCATGAAATGTGTAAAGAGTAACAGCACCAATGAATAACCTACTAAGGATGCTTGACTATCCCTGCTTGGTCCTGATGACACTTCTCCAGAGAAATGTATGCAGAAAGACACAGAGAATGACCAAGATGGGCAAAACCCAGCAAGTGCTATATCTCTTACCTCTGCATAATGCTCCACGTGAGCCAGCTCTACCTCTTCATCCCCTTCCCAGTCTCTCCAGTTATCGAAGTCCACAGACAGCCACACTGGCTTCAAGAGGAAATACAGAGAGTCACAGCAGGAAGAGCAGCATCAGGAATGCATGAAAAGATTATCAGTATGTGCATAGAAGGGTAAGAAGGTCAATGCGGTATAGTATTCCCAACAGCATCCCTTCTGACCAACTCCCCTCCAGGCTGACATGTTGTCATTGGCATCCACAAATATTTACCAAAAATCTATTAGCTGCTGAGCACAATGCCAGAAATGAAGGATCTGTAAAAGCATAGAAGCCCTGCCCTTAGGGGGACAACACATCTGGAAAAATATCATAAAGCATCATAGGAGTTAGTCAATCAAGACAGACAAGTGGCATTCCCTGGAATCAGAGGTGACACTTTGAGGCCCATGTTCCAAAGTGTCCTCATTTATATAGGGAAGACATCATTCACACATTCATTTAACAATATTTATTGAACATACACTATGGGTCAGACTCTGAGTTTGGTACTGGGATTATAAAAATGTTCAACAGACTGTCTCAGCCATCAGGAAGAAAGTGGGGGAAAGACACATTAAAAAAAAAATCCACAGACAGTCTTGCACACAGTGTGAAAAGTATGGTGGTAGGATGAAACAGGGGATACCATGGGAACCCAGAAAGAAGGTAGGGGAACCCATACTTCTTGGAATAGCAGGGCCTTTAAGGATATGCAGGGGTTAGGTAGGTGAAGGCAAGAATGGTGGTAGATTTTCAGGAAAAAGACATGGCTTGAGCAAAATTACAAAGGTGAGGAAAACCTAGTTTGTACAACAAACAAACAAACAAACAAAAAAACCACAGAAACAAAACACTGCAAATAGCTTGCTGTGTCTGGAATGTAAACATGGAGCCAGAAAGTATGGGATGGGATTCTTGCCTTGCTACAGTACTTGGAATTCAACCCAAAGGGCAGGAGTTACAGCTCAAATACCTAAAAAAAAAGGTCAGGGAGGTAATGAAAAAGAGTAACCTGAGGTGAAGTGTATACCCCATTTAAAGCTTCTGTTCAGCATTTGGGAATTTATATTAGCATAACCAGATTCTCCCAAATTGCAAAGAAGCTAATAATATGAATTTGTAGATAAAATATCTTACATTTTTAAATGCCAGCAAGCAATAAAAAATGTAAATGTAACCAATCAAAACAATTTTTATGCCAGGTAATGGTAGTGCACACCAGTGATTCCAGTTATTCAGGAAGCTGAGGCAGAAGGATCACAAGTTCAAGGCCAACCTGAGCAATTTAATGAGACTGTGTCTCAAAAATAAAAATAAAAAATTTTAAAAGGGTTAGAGATATAGCTCAGTAGAAGAGTATCTGCCTAGCATTCATGAGGCTCTGGGTTCAATCTCTAGTACTAAAGGAAAAAAAAAATTGACACTGTGAAAAATATTAAAATAAATGTGAAAAAAGTCAGATTCATCCAGCAGGTGGCCAATTTTCAAGCTTTGGGTTTTTTGTGGTTGTTGTGTTTTGGGTATTAGGGACTGAACCCAGGAGTGCTCTATCATTGTCCTAGATTAACATCCTTTTTATATTTTACTTTGAGGCAGGGTCTCACTAAATTGTCCAGGTTGACCTTGAACTTGTGATCATTCTGCCTCAGCCTCCCAGTAGCTGGGATTAAAGGCATGCATCACCATGCCCAGCTGAACTTTCAATCTTAAGGGGAGAAGCCACTGGAGGGTCTTATATGGGAAAGTGTTAAGGTTAAGGTATGTTTTAGACAGTCTGCTTGGAGCAACATAGAGGATGGATTGTGGATGAGGCAAAAAATATGCAACAAACTTCCCCAAAGGGGCTGGGGTTGTAGCTCAGGGGTAGAATGCTTGCCTAGCACGTGTGAGGCACTGGGTTCCACCTTCAACACCACATCAAAATAAATAAAATATAGGTTTTGCATCCTTCTACAACTAATAATAATAATAATAGTAAAAACTTCCCAAAAAATACTGACGGAGGAGGTCTGAACCAGGAGGAAGTAATAATTTCAAAAATATTTAGGAGGTCAGCCAGGTATAGTGGTGACTGAGGCAGGAGTATCACAAGTTAGAGACCAGCCTCAGCAATTCAGTAAGACCCTATCTCAAAATAATAAATAAAGACTGTCTTTCCCTCTGGAGATAGCCTGCATTCTCCCTTGAATGTGTATTCCTTGCTTTACACCCAAGGCGTCTCTCTTGAGATTGTCCCCATTCTTCCTTTAATATATGTTTACTTTCCTAAATAAACCTCCATCTTTGTTTTGTTTTTTTGTTTGTTTTTTGGTACCGGGAGTTAAACTCGGGGTACTCAACCACTGAGCCACATCCCCGGCCTTATTTTTGTATTTTATTTAGAGACAGGGTCTCACTGAGTTGCTTAGCGCCTCACCATTGCTGAGGCTGGCTTTGAATTTGCTATTCTCCCGTCTCAGCCTCTCCAGCCGCTGGGATTACAGGAATGTGCCACCGCGCGAGGCTCCATCTATGTTTTAAAAAATTAAATAAATAAAAATAAAAAGGGCTGGGGATGTAGTTCAGTGAGAGAGCACTCTGGGTTCAGTTCCTAGTACTGGGGATGTGGGTGAGGGAGGGCAGTATATTGAGTAGGAAGCAGGGCCTGATGAGTCATTGAATATTAACTGGAAAGGAAGCAAGGGCAATCCCAGCGGATGAACATAAACAGAGAGCACACAAGGAGCAAGCCACTCCCCACACACCTTGATATCTTCCTTGGTGAGCCGGGGCCAGGCCACCTTCTCCTTCCATTTCCTCACAAAGCAAGTAATAGAGCGGCCGGACCTCTTATCCTGGGAATCCTGCCAGATAGAAAGCCTCATTCTTAGGGTCTGAGTTTTCATATGAATCTCCTGGGCACCTTTTCCATCCAAACCTTACTTGACGCACCCCACCCTCACCTTGGAGTTCACTTTGGCGTAGAACTCAATCTCGTTGTACAACTCCACTCCATCACCATTCCTGCAGCTACGGAAATAATGAAATTGAGATGTGGGAGCCTGGGGGTGGGGGTGCGGATTAGGAAAACAGAAGTTCCTGGGAAGCGAGCCCCTTCATAGAGGAGGGCCATTACCTGAACACAATGCGATGATCCTCAATGAGCACATGGACATCCGTGCTGTCCTCAACACAAAATTCCATAAACACATACTTGGGCCTGTCATACCACAGGGTCCGGGCATGCTGCCTGAGAGGAGTGTGGTGGGGCTTCATAAGTGTGGGGAAGGGAATATAGGGCAGTTGGGTAAGATGAGGGAGGGGACCTTAAAGGAACGTTCGGTGCCGCAGTTCTGTTAAAGTGGAGCAATACAAGACAGAGGGGGAGGAAGGGAGTGACGGGAGTGCGTAGATGTGGTGAGGGTGAACCTAGGTCGAATCAAAACTCACCCTACAAGTTACAGAGTTCTGGGGTCTTGGGCTCCCATGGGCCTCACTGAACTTGGGGTGCGCACTAGACTGGAAGGGAATCTCCAGGGAAAAGGGCGGAGGGAAAGGGGCAGTACCAAGGCCGGAAACACTTACCGTGCCATGGCTGCTCCACCTGCCCAGTGGCATTTGGAGTCCCAGGCAAAAGCCTCTATCTTTAGATACTGGGGACGCCCCCAGCAGCTGCCTCTCCTTATATGGTCGAGGGAAGGGTTGAGAGGGTGGGGAATGTGGCTCCACTGCCTAGAGATCTGCACTCTGGAGGGATTCTGGGAGAGTTTAAAACCTGTAGACTTTAACCTCTCAAAATCTACAGAAATGTACAGATGAGGAATAAACTGTGCACCCGCTTAAACCAGGAAAGGGCCATCCTAGACTCTGTACACAGGGAATGGCGTGTGCTAGGCTTCATTTACCTGTTTCTCCAACTTTTAGTACTCTCTGCCTAATTCAGAATAGGCGCTCAGGAGAAAATTATTGGCTCGAAAGAAGTTCCTGAGGGGCGTACTGCCCTCGGGAGGACTGCCCTTGGGTACGACCCAATTTTAAGCCCCGCCCTCCACTCCTCCCCTTTTTCCCTGCCTGCGCGCCGTTGCCATGGCAGTAAGGGGGCGCGGCTGACGTTCAGCAGTGTTTCCGGAAAGATGGCTGCTGTGGACGCTGCTGAGGAATCGGTAGCGGTGGTGGCGGCTGTTGAGGCAAAAGCAAAGGACGAAGAGGAGGAGGAAGAGGAATTGCTGCCACCATGCGAGGCGGTGCGCTGGGCCCCAGTAGGGGCGGTGGCCGAGACCGGGCCTGGGGTGTCTGCATTTTCGGAAGAGGCGGCAGCCGAGGAGCCCGGCACGGCCCGGGGTTCCCCGCCGGACTCGCCCAGCTGTACCTTGCGGCGGTTGCGGGCCGAGCGGCGGCGGCTGGATTCAGCGCTACTCGCGCTGTCCTCGCATTTCGCGCAGGTGCAGTTCCGCCTGCGCCAGGTGGTGCGGGGAGCACCGGCGGAGCAGCAGCGCCTCTTGCGCGAGCTGGAAGAATTCGCCTTCCGCGGCTGCCCTCACGTCCTGGGTTACGAGGGGCCCGGGAACCCTGCCAGCGACGAGGGCGACAGGCTGCCCGGGGACCGACCACGGTTGCGGGGTGAGGACCAGGTGAGCCGCCGGGGCTGGGCCCCAAGAGATTTAGGAATAGGGAGTTAAGTGAGTGGCGTTGCTAACGCAGACGGAAGTATAAAGGAGAGAACAGACTCAACTAGGCGGTTATGGATATGTCAGAGACAGGGAGACTGGAGCCAGATGTGGATGGCATAAGAGAACTAAGCGGCCAGGGAACTTGTGAGAGGTGCATACTGAAGGTATGGGAAAAGTGCTCTGATGATGCGAGGAGAGGGAGCAGAGTATTGAGAAGACAACGGGACAACGAGTGCAGCGGTGCTCCCACTTACCTTACCCGCCCCTCATTAAAAAAAAAAAAAAAAAAAAATCCTGGCCACCTTTTTTGGTGCTGGAGATTGAATCCAGCGCCTTGCGCTTGCTACGCACGGGATCTATCATGGAGCTACACTCTCAGTCTTAAACACTTTTGTTGATGGGGTACTCTGACTATGGGGATTAGAATTGGAAAGTGAACTGGAATCCGTGGAAATTTAGATTAATTTCTGTGCTTTCCTGTAAATCTAGGTAGTCTTTAATCTTTATACCCTCTTATCTGGTGAGAACTTGGATGAACAGCACAATCTCCTATTAACTGAAAAAAACATGACACCTGATTATATAAATTTCCTAACATTGGGGCTGGGGATGTGGCTCAAGCAGTAGCGTGCTCGCCTGGCATGTGTGCGGCCCGGGTTCGATTCTCAGCACCACATACAAACAAAGATGTTGTGTCAGCCGAAATCTAAAAATAAATATTAAAAAATTATCTCTCTCTCTCTCTCTCTCTCTCTCTAAAAAAAAAATCCTAACATTGGTATTTTCAAACTGCTCTTTCATCCTGCTTAATAACTAGATATTCTAAATGAGGTCCTCTAGTAACTGACAAGATGGATTCAGTTTCCCTGCGTTGAGAAGCAATGAAACTATGTATTCCACACCAAGAAAAAGTTTCCTTACAAGTTTTGAATCTCTGGAAGTGAATTCATGTAGGTAGCTTGTTGGAGGCGTTGAAACACACTGCCTTTTTACTCTTCAAATTACAACTCACATGTGGCTTTCTTCCCACTCAAATTGATTTTAGCCAACAAAGTTTATCAGCAGCAGATATTGACTTATTTTAATCAGAACAGTTTTCAGTGCAATCCTGTATTTACTGTTCCACCCTTTTTTCCACATCCACAGATAAGTACACAAGGAATAGCCACCTTAAATTGCCAGACTTGAAGATTAGAAAAGAGAATTAGTTTTGCAAGGTCCATTTCAGGATGGAAAAGCACCAAAGATTCTATGTGAATATGGCACACTTCATTGTTCATTTTCACTTTCAGAAACAGTGTAGCACTATTTATTTTTAAAATGTTTTTAATCAGTTGTTTTTTGCAGTACTGGGAATTGAATTCAGGGGTGTACTCCCACTGAGCAAAGTCTCCAGCCCTTTTTATTTATTGATTTTTGTTTATTTATTTATTTATTTTTGGTACTGTGGAATTAAACCCAGGGGTGCTCTGCTACTGAGCCTCCCCAGACCTTTTATATTTTTTCTTTTGAAACAGGGCCTAAGTTTCCAAGGCTGGCCACAAACTTGCTGTCCTCCTAACTAGGGTGGTGGCTCATTCCTGTAATCCCAGTGACTTAGGAGGCTGAGGCAAGAGGAGGCCAGCCACAGCAATTTAATGAGACTCTGTATCAAAATTAAAAATAAAAAGTGTTGGAAATATGGCTCAGTGGTAGAGTGTCCCTGACTCAACTTCGCACTCCTGACTCAACCTTCCAATTCACCAGGATTATAGGCATGTGCCACCATGCCCAGATGGTTTTTTATTTTGAGACAGGGTCTCACTAAATTGCTGAGGCTGGTCTTGAACTTGAGATCCTTCTGCCTCAGTCTCTCAGGGTAACACTTAAACAAACAAAAAAAAAAAAACTAGTGGGTCTACCTAATAAACAGATAGAATCTTATGTGCATATGTTGACCTGTGAACAGGTAGTAACTAAGTGGGGGACATCTTTGAACTGAATAATTTACTTATTGGTTCCATTTTGTTGTTGTGTTGGTGATAGTGCTGGGAATGGAACCAAGGGCCTCACGAATGCTAGGCAAAGCCATATGACTGAGTTACATCCCCAGTCTCCCCAATTTTTTTAAGCCAATATTGTATCTCAGTTCACACTAGGAATGATATCTATTATTTCCTGCTTTGCACCAGAGCTCATTGTTCTCTCCTATTAAATTTATTGCCCCACACTCCAGCAAATATCATACCATAGCTACCATAGCTACCATAGCAAGAGATAGAACTCAGCAGATTTAGTCCTGAAAACAGAATTATGATTTATGTCTGATTTCTTTCTTCTTTGGCTTCACAAAGTTGGGATACAATGAAAACAGAAATAAAGTCTATTTTCCCAGGTCTTTCTCCTTAGGCTAGTTAGATAACTTCCTTCAGTCAGAGTTCATTATTTGGAATTTGTCATTCACTACCTAATGTAGTTCAGTAACATGTAACAAATAGGTACTGAGAAGCCAGGAGCAGTGGTACACACCTGAAACCCCAGTGACTAAAGAGGCTGAGGTGGCAGGAAAATCTCAAGTTTGAGGCTAGCCTCAGCAACCTGTGGAGATCCTGTCTCAAACCAAAAAATTAAAAAAAGACTGGAGATATAGCTCAGAAGTACATCACCCCTGGGTTCAATCCCCAGTACTGGGAGGAAAAAAAAGTACTGAGAACTCATCCTATGCTGGTCACTGTACTTGGTATTGGTAATCAAAGTCAAGGCCCTTACCCTTAAGAAGCTGAGAAATTACTGGAGGCAGAATCATAAAAGTGTGTGCAAAATACTGAGGAGGAAATTATTCATCCTGCCTGGAGAAATCAGGAAAACTTCTTAAAGGCAAGCTAAGACTTTACGAAGTAGGGGAAAGAGGACAGGATTCCAGGAAAAAACTGTAACAGAAAGGTTTGGAGAAGGGTATCCTAAAGAAAGACTTGCTTTTGTGTTGAGCAAAGCTAATGCAAGAGGATTGCTTTATAAATACTTGAACAAAAAGTTAAATTTGTTGCTTTTCATTTTTTTCTCTCATGCATTACTTCTGGAGGGCTTGGTAAGTACCTTTTTAAGGTTAAATTTAATACTGTTATAGACTTCTAGTTTAAAATGTAGCCTTATACCTACAAATAACTTGCCGGTTTAGCTTTTTTAAATTTTATTTTTTTAAATTTATTTGTTTTGCAGTGCTGGGATCAAATCCAGGGCCTCAGATATTCAGGAGAAGTGCTCTACTTCTGAGCTATGCCCCCAGCACCTGCTTTTTTGGTTTTGATAGTCAAGAAAGGCAAGGAAAAGCTAGTATCTAAGAATATATTAGCAGGACTTTATCATCTTGAAGATTTTTTAATAATTTAAGTGTAGAAATTATCTGGTAGCCAATAGCAAAAAAAGGAATTACTTCTAGAAGATCTTAACCAGACTTAACAAAACAAGGGGCTGGGGATACATAACTTAGTAGTAGATTGCATAGGGCCCTGGGTTGGATCCAAAGCACTGCCCACAAATAAATAAATAACAGTGATCATGACCTTCCCACCCCATTACTTGTAGATGTTTCTCACTGGCACCTTCATTTGATTGTTTTAATTTTTTTTAAGTATCCTATAATCTTATCAGAGGAAATGGAGGAGATTTGAACCTTAAGAAAATTGGTTATGAGTTAAAAAGCCTTTCTTTAAACCCTGACCCCCAGATTCTCTTGCAAAATTTAGCTGCACAAGGTATTCAGGAGTTAAGCTATGGTCTTTGGTTGTGGATGATGGCATGTTTAATTCCTGGGAGGCACTCTTGGCTAAGAACGGGTTGTCTCTATCCCAACTAGACCTTTAAAAAACAAAAAGTTTTAACAAAAGACTTCTTTGTATTTATATCCTGTTTCCAATAAAGGACAGACACTTTGTGTTTTTTTTTTTTTTTCAGTGCTGGGGATCAAATACAGGGCTTGCATATGCTAGGCAAGTGCTGTATCACCAAGCTATGCCTCCAGCACCAGAACTTCTTTAAGAAAACATGTATATAATAAATTGCC